GAAAAAGACCCCAACGCAGGACAGAAAGGCTCAGGCAAGACCCTCCGTGACCCACTGAGAGGGGCATTAGCCAGGCAGGGGTGGCTCCGAGACCACGGGGAAGGGACCTCTCTGGGGGTGGCTATTATTGCAGCTGGTTGGCATGCAGCCACACTCAGCTCCAGCGCGGGGAGAGCTGCGCCTTCTGTTCTCCTGGGCTGTTTCTCATATGCTCGTCCACTCCACCAGTGTATAAATGAGGTTTTATGAAATGCCAAGTCAGTTCTCATTAACAAGGAAAGAGGGTAAATTGCAGAAAACCACTGTGTTGGCACCTGGCCCCCTTGTGTAAGAAGCTGGGGGTGTGTTTGGGTAGGGGTGCAGCCTCGGAGACCCGGGAACCTGCAGAGCTTGGAGAATCAGAGAGGAGTGTTGGGGGTTAGCACCAACTGGGGCCAGCTGTGTTTTTCCTCAGCCCCTTGGAGATCAAAAATGAGTGCTGTCATCCTCAAATAATCCAAATGCAGTATCCAAGGCCTTACTCCACCCTACTCATCCCCATACATGCGTTCACATGCACATACACTCACACACTCTCTCTCACACACATAACTCACATACAGTCACATGCATTCACATGCATGCACACTCAAACATCTACACCCTCTTATACACACGCACATTCTCACACTCTCACACGCACACAGATACACTCACATACCCCCTCACACACATACACTCACACATACCCTCACACACACATAATTCACATACACTCACACACATTCACACGCATATACCCACACACACTTGCACAGTACGGTCACATACACTCATATAACCACACACACTCACTCACACACAGATACATGAATTGGTTGCTGGGTGACCTAGATAGGCTGGGAAAGATACAAGAAGCCAGGTGGATGGATCTCATCCGAGATTGAGCCCCCCTTGGTTTCACCTAGGCTGGAATAGCTTGAAGGTGCTTGCCTTCACCTGCGGCCTTTTTCAGGTTTAACGCCCCCAGCTTGAAACCCAGAAGCTCAGACCTGGGCCCGAGGTATCATTACTGCCAGCACTACCTGAAATGTTTCACATCTCATAAAGAAAAAGAAAGAAAGAAAAAAAAATGTTGTGTCAAGTTTCGGGTGAGGGGTTGGGATGTTTCCCATCTGATTTGGCCCAGGGCATGCCTGCTCCTCCTCTTCGTTCTCCTTCCTGCAACAATCCTTCCTGTTTTCTCTCAGAATCTGGAGCACAGCTTTGAAATCTTGCTAAGAAGCAAATCTGTCCCTTCTGCCTCAAATGTTTATTTGTGGAAGTTCAGCGGGGGAACTGAGGCTGGTGCCAAGACCTGCCATACTGCTGGGAAATCTGAGTTTCCCTCCCTTTGCCCCACCTCAGTGGATGTTGCTAGAGGAAATTTGGCCTCCCCGGCATGTTGGTTCACGGTTTTTCCCTTTGCAAAACATTTCCAGTGTGCATGATTCAGCTTTCTTTCCTTTCCCTCAACGACAACTCTGCTGTGATGTTT